TCCCTTCTTCCCCGATGCATGTTCCTGTTCAGTGTCAACTTTGTTTTTAGCATAATCATTCTGCTCGTGATTGTCCATCTCTTAGTTCCAAAGCATTTATTTCTGACCTCCAATCAGCTTTAACTCATTCTTATAGAATGTCTGGTGATGCACAATGGTTCGTTGATACTGGGGCATCTTCTCATATGACCCCTAATCCTGGTAATGTATCCTCAGTTCTTCCTTACAATGGTAGCGATCGAGTTGCTGTAGGCAATAGTACTCAACTTCCCATTTCCTACACTGGTCACGGTACTATCTCTACTCCTTCTAATACCTTTTATCTTAAAAATGTTCTTATTGTTTCTGATCTCTCAAGTAATTTGCTTAGTGTTCGTAAATTTACTTTAGATAATAATTGCTCCATTGAGTTTAATGGTTTTGGTTTCTCTGTTAAGGACTTCAAGACGAAACAAATTATTCTACGGTGCAATAGCCAAGGTCCTCTTTATTCCATGTCTTCCAGGGTTCATGCAGTTTATCAAGCTTTTGCAGCAGTGCGACGCTCTCCAAATCTTTGGCATCAACGACTGGGCCATCCAAGCTTTGCCATTCTTGCTAGATTAGTTAGAGAAAATAAAGTTTCTTGTACTTCTTTTAAACAATTAGATTTCTTTTGTAGTGCTTGTCAACTTGGCAAGCACAATAAATTACCTTTTATGGATTTTAAGTCATCCACTATTTCTCCATTTGAGTTGATACATAGTGATATATGGACTTCTCCCGTACCATCCTTTACAGGCTTTCGTTATTATATTCTCTTTCTTGATGATTTTTCAAAATTCTTATGGGATTTCCTTTAAAACGGAAGTCTGATGCTTTTTTAAAATTTAAATCATTCTATTCTTATGTCTCAACTCAATTTTCCACAAAGATAAAAGCTTTGCAATGTGATGGAGGTGCAGAATATATTAAACTTGGTATTTCCGTGACTTTCTTAATGAAAATGGGATATCTTTACGCATATGATGCCCATATACTCATCAGCAGAATGGCAAGGCTAAACAGATGCATCTCACTATTGCAAATATGATTCGTACTCTCCTTTTTCAGGCCTCTCTTCCTTCTAAATTTTGGGTCGAAGCTCTCCACACTACTGTTCATCTCTTGAATATTCTTCCATTTTCCAAACTTCAATTCAAGACTCCCTATGAAATCCTTTTTGGGAAATCTGCTACCTATGATCATCTACGTGTATTTGGATGCTCATGTTATCCTAATCTTAGTGATTATTCACGTAACAAATTAAGTCCTCGGTCTAAGCATTGTGTTTTTCTTGGTTATCCGTTAAATTATAAGGGATTTCGGTGTCTTGATCCATTAACTAATAAAGTTTATATTTCCAGGCATGTCCGCTTTAATGAGGAGTCCTTCCCGTACCTCTCTCTTCTACAATCACCCGCTCCTCCTTGTGTTTCAAAATCTTTATTTAAATCTCCAACAGACTTCAACTCTTATCTATTTCGACTCCTTCAATGTTAAATCCTAGAGATACTTATCTATTGCGTAATCCAACTACTTCTCCTAATATTTCTCATCCGTTTGGTACTGCAACAGCTCCTTTATCTTCTCTTAATATTTCTCCATCTAGGAATTCTCAATCATTAGATGATAATAATCTCCAAGTCCAAAAGCTGTTGAATTCTTGTGTATCTCCAACACCTTCACGTGAGAATACCTCTCCTACTCCAAACATGCTAGATTCTAGGTTGTCTCCAACTACTTCATGCTTCTCTCCCTTGAATAATGTTTCAGTATCACCTTTAACTTCCTCAGGTCTATCTCCAAGTAGAGATTATTTGTGCTCACGTATCAATCCTAGAGTCCAACAATTACATGCTTCTACATCTTCTAGACTCGTAACTTCTAATTCAAATAATTTTGGGACTATTCTTTCTCCTTATCTTCATGAGATTCCAGTTGGTTATTCCCCTACATTTTCTCATAATATTTCTCCACCATCTTCTCCTTTGTTATCTTCTTTTACTCCTCTAAAGACTCGACCACAAGCTATTCAATCTCATTATGGTCCTTTTTTAATTAATTATCCTACATTAAGTCACTCGCCTCACACAATTCCAACTCATTCTACACTTCATAATATGGTTACTCGTTCTCAAACTGGAAACCTTAAGCCTCGAGTTCTCCCCTCACTCTTATCCCACAATACATCTAACCGACATGTCATATCTATTCCATCTGAGCCTACCTCATTCAAGGAAGCTAATAAGGATCCTAATTGGAGAAAGGCAATGACTGAAGAATATAATGCACTCATGGCCAACAACACTTGGCAATTAGTTTTACCTCCTTCTAATACTAATATTATTGGTTGTCGTTGGGTATATAAAGTAAAACAACGTTCAAATGGTTCAGTTGAACGCTTTAAAGCTCGTTTGGTGGCGCAAGGATACTCTCAACAATATGGACTACACTATGATCAAACGTTTAATCCTGTGGTAAAACCTATCACAATTCATATTGTTCTTGCTCTAGCCGCCTCCAAAGGTTGGCTAGTCATCAAATGGATGTTAAGAATGTCTTCTTGCATGGCAGTCTTAACGAACTGGTGTATATGAAACAGCCTACTGGTTTTGTTCATCCAAACTTTCCTCATCATGTTTGTCGGCTGAACAAAGCTCTTTATGGCTTAAAGCAAGCTCCTAGAGCATGGTTCCATCGTTTTGCCACATTTTTGCTCCGAATTGGTTTTAAAAATAGCATGTCTGATTGTTCTCTTTTTGTTTATAAATATAAAACAGAAATTGCTATTTTGCTTCTATACGTAGATGACATTCTTCTCACTGCTTCCTCTTCTTCTTTACTTCGTTCTTTAATTCAATCCCTTAAGTCTGAATTTGCTATGAATGATTTAGGACTGATTAATTATTTTCTTGGTGTTTCTATCACTCCTCGTGATGGTGGTTATTTTCTCTGTCAGTCCAAGTATATTCAAGATCTTCTTCGTCGTGCAAATCTTTTGTTTTCAAAATCTGTCTCTAATCCCATTTCCTCTAAAACATTGTTGTATATAGGAATCTTGTAGGTGGACTTCAATATCTCACTTTCACTCGTCCAAATATTGCATTTGCAGTCAATCAAGTGTTCCAGTTCATGCACACTCCTTTAGAAGTTCACTATACAGCTGTTAAACGCATATTGCATTATTTGAATGGCTCACTATCTCATGGCTTGTTCATTCGTGGTGGTTCTCTGGATCAACTTACTTGTTACAGTGATGCGGATTGGGCTGGTTGTCCTACGACGCGCCGCTCTACCTCCGCATATTGTCTCTTTCTTGGAGAAAACCTCATTTCTTGGTCTTCTAAGAAGCAAAGTGTTGTTTCTCGCTCAAGTGTCGAGGCTGAATATCGCTCTGTTGCTCATGCTGCTGCTGAAATTACCTGGTTGCATTTTCTCCTTCGAGATCTTCACGTCTCTCTTTCATCACCAGCTACTATTTACTGTGACAATATTAGTAGCATTTATTTATCTCATAATCCAGTTCAGCATGCTCGTACCAAGCACATAGAAATCGATATTCATTTTGTTCGCGAGACGGTTGCTTCGGGTGCATTGCAAGTTCAATATGTAAATACGGCTGATCAACTTGCTGATTTATTAACCAAACCGCTTCCCTCTCCAAGGTTAATGCTTCTCCGTGACATTCCTACCAACATATCGCTTGAGGGGGGTGTTAAACATAATATTTTGTATATATCTTTTGTATCTTTTGTAGTTATCTGTTACATTATCTTCAAGGATACTAGATTGGTCCTTTGTATGTATTACTATAAATACCTTATTGTAATTATATTGTCATCATCTAATATTGTTTCAATGCTAACAAAAGATATTTAATCCAATACTAGGAATGATAATAGGGTTAATATCTATTTTTTAGTTTTTTCATGATTTAGATAAAATGCATAACTTATTTTTATTTTTTCCTTTAGTGTCTAATCATGTAGTTAATAGTACTTATTAGTTGTACTAATTTTAGCATGGTTTACTACTTTTTTTTTTTTTTTTGTGAGAAGATAACAAGTTTTATAAATTAAGTAGAAGAACCTTTAGCAAAAAGATTATGCTAAAGGTTAAAGATAGATACAAGACCCTTGAAAAAGAGCAAAAACGCAAACCCAGACTTGTGATAGTTACAAAAACCCAATAATATCCACTATAGACTCTACATCCTCTACAAGAGCTAACACTTGATTTTCTGTTCAGTGTTAGTTGTATCTTCAAAGCATCTTGAATTTCTCTCCAACCAAATTGTCCATCAAATACATGCTGGGATCAACCTCTACCAATGCTTCTGCCTCGGTAGAATACCTAGGTCATTCCAGCTAGCTAACATTTCTGCAGTTGTCCTAGGTGTTGCCCATTTCACACCTTTAGATTATATTCATTTTTATTACGGCTTATTCATTAGCAAACATTTGTTTTATGCGATTCATTTGAATACTTTAGTACAATTTCATGACTCATCTCATATTTGATGTCATTTTCTTAGAAAACACCTTAAATAACGGTGTCTTACTAGGACTAAATAATTGTGTCTTACTATGACTAAAGAAGTATTTAGAGCACACATTCATGTTTTATGCTATGAAGACTTTATCAAGAAAAATCCGAAAAACCCAAGAAAACCGAGATTAAAAAATCCAAATTTTGTTGGTTTGATGTGATCTGTAGATTTAATAACTCGACACAATTGTTTTAATTTGATAATTATAAAACTCAAACTAACCCGACTTATGTACACCCCTAATCACTACAATAATCTGCTTCACAGCTACTACGATCTCCATGGAAAAGAAAACTAAAACATATGAAGAGAAGAAAAAAGAGAGAAAAAAAATGAAAGAGAAGAAGAATAAAGAGGAAAAGAAAAAACAAAAGATAACACGAGATTTCTGGGCTTAGGAGACCACTTTTCTGCATTCCTCACATCAATATCTTCATAAGATTTCAGAAATCGTTATATTAAAAAAAATGAAATGAAGTGACAGGTGTGAACAACCGCACACAAGAAACATATCGTCCTTCAATCTCAAAAATAAGTTCTTACCAACTCCATAAGAACTATGACAAAATTTCAATTGTTCATCAAAAAAATTCTAACAGATCAGTATAAAATACAACCATTAGCTAGATCTGCAAAACTCGATTCCACGCTAGCCCTTGCCAGTAGACTATATTTGTGGCCACGACTTCTCATTGATCACTGAGATGGACAACCTGCATATGCTTAAACCTAACATTCAGTAAGATCAAGCTTAATTGATATGTAAGAATGCCGGAAAAAAAGAACTAAACGTGACACCTCTTCTTTCTTTTTCAGACAACACATACTACCAAATGCGAAAAAAACAGAAGTAACACATTCAAGTACAAGAGTTTAAGCAGACTTGTGTACTGACTGAAAGATCATGTAAGCCACAGCTCCGCTAGAATCATAATAAACAAACCCCACCCACCTCCCCGCGACAAAAACAGAACAAAATGAAACTGCAACAAAATAAGCTCTATAGAATTATATTGTCAGGTTATCACAAAAGATTCGGGCCCAAGACCCTGAGCGAATAGTCCAATTATTACAAGCATCTTATGTGCAAGAAAAGATCAACATAAAAGGAAAACTCTCCATATTTCAAACTTAATTCTCGTCAACCAGTCACCCTTCTTGCAAGGCCTTCCAATAGTAAAAACGTTTCATCAAAGCCATTTGACACTCCTGACTAAATTAATGCATGAACAGTCTGCAGTGGGCTTTTGTGTGGGGTTGTGGGGTAGGGGGGCTTGAGGTGTTCCTTCCAATGGAATACAGCAGAGTCGATCAAGTTAGGACTAGGGCACAACATCACTTAGAGTTTAAGCGCACAACATAGCCATTGGTTACAAGTTCAAAGGATTTAAAATATCAATCTGACAACAATGATCTTAAGAGCTCAAGGAAAAAAAAATAACTAAAGCATCTTCCAGCTGAACAATACCAATTGGTATGAGGGATGGCTAGTCGCTTACAGGATTTGGCATGAAGAGATCAAAATCTACAATCCAAGCAAATTCCATCTGATGACATGAATTATTATTGAGCTCCAAATAATTTCTTTTTTGAAATGAATTATTGAACTCCATTTAATTTTTTTCCCGATATGTTATAGAATTATAAAATGCGAAGGTTACTGTTAGTTTAATAAAAGGGCAACTGGGTGCACAAAGAATCCAGCATTCACGTAGTTCGAAAAAGGGCCACATCTCAAGGAGGTGTGTGATATAGACAGGCTACCCTAAGGCAAGCATTAGTGGCCGAGTCCCGAACCCATGAGCTATAGGTCACTCGAAGACAACTTTTACTGTTGCTCCAAGGCTCCCCTTCATTCTAATAAAAACATTTATATGCGATAAAGAGGTGGTGGATGTAGTTCAATCTTGCAAGGGATAGACAGAGAGAATCATTTGGAATTCGATGATTGAATCGTCCATTTTTGGGTTATGAATAGAGAGCCAGCCAGCCAAAATAACATACACACACACACTTATGTTACATGGTTCAATATGAAAATGAATATTGGTATGTGATGTTCAGGCCAGCTTGACTATTATTGTGTTAAAACATTGGATTCAAATGTTAGTCTCTCATGGTTATTTTTATTAAGAAGAACATTGTGTCTAATTCAAACCCAAAACCTAACTCAGGCAGTGAGCAATGCCCAAAACTATAGAGCTTCCAGCACTCCCTAACACACTTGGGGGTGAACATGTGGAACCTGAAGTAACATGACATGGAAGACCTATACTGCTAACCCCCAAAACCAGGAAGAGTTTGCTCTGATACCATGTTTAAGAAATAAACATTCGACCCAACTCAACTCCAAAAGCTAGCTCAAGTGGTGTAAGAATTGTCAAGACCATATAAGGATATTATCGCGCATACACTTAATCCCAATGGGATTCTAACAGTTATCATTCCAAGTTTATCGACCGCTAGGTTGCATCCTTTGGTGTGAGAAGGATGCCATATGCGCATTCTGCAGTATCCATACTAAGAACTCATTGTAACCCTCTATGTTACAAGTACATCAAGGCAAACTTCCTAGCAAGATGATCTCCACCCTTTTGTCTCTCAGATAAATAACTAGATTGAAATGTTGGCTAAGTACACATTCCAGCCTAATGATGTTCTTTACAGAAAATCATTCATCGTGGTGAGAAATACTTCTTGGAGAAAGAATATAAATTATATGCCATGAAGAGTAATCCACCTTGAAACAAATGGGTATGCCACCTAAGCCAACTTGTGTTCTCTATTCCGATGAAACAAATGCAAGGTATGTAGCAAAATACTTTTTTTGGGACCAAGATGAGTAATCCACCTACTTCTGTCCTCTGAAGAGTCTTTGCAAGAGTTAGCAAAAGAACCAAATTTCACTTGTAGAAGTCCAAGAAACATGAGCTTCCTTTTAAATTTCTTAGATCCTACCCGGTAAACCAGTTCTTTAGCAAAGGAAGTGTAAGTTTGAGGACATAGAAGATGTCATTTATTTTCTGTCCCTGTACCCTTCAAAAATGGATACAAGTCCTCAAGGCTGAACAGACTTGACCAATTCCAGCATTTTAAAAAGTAAAAGTACATAAGTGAATTGTACAGCATCTTTAAAAGCTACAAACACAAATCCCAGAAATCTAACTTGTAAATCAGCAATTTGATTCATGACTACAACTAGTGGTGGCAAAATGGATAAAAAACAGTTATTCATCCATATTATCCACTAAAAATAGGTTGGATAATGAACTTTTTTAAAATGAGTCAAGTATGGATAAGATCCATATCGTCCACTTAAAAAATGGATAACCAATGGGTTTAAATTTTACATTTATAAAGCTCAAATTGGGATTCCTCAAGTTTGGGAGACTAGAAATTCTCCCAAAAACGATCGTATTTAAGAAGCCATGGATTATATGGATATCCATATTATCCGCTGGTTAATCTATTTTCTATTAATATTAAATATGGGTCGGGTCGGATATTTTATTTGTTTTTGTATTACCTATTTGATCAGCCCATATCCGACCTAACTCGACCCACCTGTTTGCCACCCCTAATTGCAACCAATGCCAAACTGAAGACCTTAGTACATGAGTTGCACAGAAAGAAAACCAACCCTGTAGTTACGTAAATGAATCGAGACAATTCTACTTACCAAAATAATAATTGAAATAGTTTACTGCCTTAATGCACGAAGCTTGATATTCAATTAATTTACTACCCACCTTACTATAAAGTGTTGTGTTACCCATCTCTTTCTTCTGAAAACGCAAATTGTTACTCACCTCTTCTACACATAGACAACAACAACAACAACAATCCAGTAGTGCGATCTGGGGAGGGTAGTGTGTACGCAGACCTTACCCCTACACATATAACTACTACAAATATACTTTTTCCCTTATCCCATTTTATTGGGCATCAGGTAGGGGACTCTCTTTCTCTCTCTCCTTGCTTTGGTTCAACACGGAATTTTTATAAAAAGAACACCTTTTGCTTTCACTAGGGCTGCTACCACACCTATTCTCAGTCTACTTCAGATGCCTGGTCTGTAGGAGATGTCTTTGCTCACACAACCATTATATATCCTGTAAGCTAAGGACTCAGTGTAAGAAGGCCTGCAGAATTCAAAGCAGACCCATCATCCATCTGATACAGGGGCGAAGCTATGCTCTTCTAAGGGTATTGACCACCCTTCGTCAAAAAATTATACTGTATATATAGGTAAAATAGATTTTAGAGGCATATCACATATATTGAACACCCTTTGTCAAGTTCAAGTTTGAACACCCTTGGAGAAATTTCTAGCTTCGCCACTGATATGATAATAGAGTTGACCGGAAGCGTCAGAATGATTCTACATTAGTTGTTCCCCTGATTTCGGATAGATTACAACTCGAGCAATTACAACTCTAATGACATTTAAACTCCTAACTGCCGTATTAATTTTCTAAAATAAAGCACCATGAAACAGATGTACTTGATACTTTCAATCAAAATATAGCCAGATACAATGGTCTTCCACATAACAGATTCACAATCAAAAGCAAATATTATGCTTCCAACGAATCACTTCGAAAAAAATATGCTGCCAAATAATTTTTAAAATTGAACACTCAAAAATAATTCTTAACTAATTACCCGTTGTACAAAGCTGCTCCATTAACTTGCTGCTACTTCTTTTTGCTGTTTGACTCTGACAGGTTAGCTGAATATGCCTTAAGCCTGGCTTCAGACAGCTTATGCTCAGCTTGTTGCTTCCGCCTCCTACTTCGCCTCGACTGTTTGCTTGCATCTCCATTAGATTCCTCTTGCTTCCCTTTTCTATCATCTGTCTCACCATCAAATTTTTCCTTGTTATCAAACTTTCTCTTCTTTTCAGTTTTTGGCACATGTGAAACTTCTCCTTTAAGTTTCTTTCTCACTTCGAGTGTCTTCAGACGGTCTACCTTCCATTCCTTTTCTCTATAAGGTGCTATCTTCTTCAAAGAGACATACTGATTTAACTCCTTATCCTCCATTGTTAACATCTCCTCTGGAGTTAGCCCAAATCTCTTGGCTTTGACAGGCCTATACTTGAATCTTGTCTTCAAGTCTCCAATAGTATCCTCGTAGTCCAACTTGTAATACTCCTCCATCAGCTGTTCTTTAACTGTTTTCATTAATGTACTAGTTCGCTTCCTCTTCTTCTTCCGCTTACCTTCTTCAGCCACCTCATCATCATCAGCACTTCCTTTATTATCATCTCCTGCTTGCTCATGATCACCACCTTCATTCTCTATAGCTTTCAGAAGTTTTTCCCTAGTTGATAAAAAGCCATCACGAGGCTCGTCCACTTTATCCCATCCCTTCGGCAGTCCCAGTAACTCATCTTCCTTGTCAAAATCTGGCTTCTCAAGGTCACCATCATCTTCATCCTTATCACTCCCAAACTCGGGATCTATATCATCAGCCTCGTAGTAGGCATCACTAAAAGCCACCTTCATCTTCCTATCGTGCTCGTCAGGATCAAATTCCTCCTCCAAATCATCGACATCCAATAAGCAAACCTCATCCTCTCCTATCCCAGCAGTCTCCTTAATCTTATCAAGCCTCTCCTTCATCTCCTTCTTCTTCAAGTTCTTCAAACGTTTCAACTCCTCTTTCCTCTCCTCTTCTGCCTGCACCATCCTCTCTTCCTTTCTCTCCCTCTGCAACTTCCTCGCGTTTGTCTTTTTCCTCACAGATCCCTCCACCTGCCTCGAATGTCCCCACACTCGATCCCCTGCATTCTCCTCGAATCTAAAATTAAACTCTCTCTCATAATCCTCTTGTCTCTCAATCTCCTCCTCATCCTCCGAAAACTTCACATCCTCGTCATCATCCGCCCTCTTCCCTTTCTTATCATCATTCCACATCTTCTTCCTAAAAAAATCCTTTATAAACAATGTCTCTTCATCCAACTTCTCATCCTCCCCGAAAACCTCATCCAACTTCTTAGCAATCTCATTACTTCCCTCCTCCTCGTCATCACCTAACCCGTCCTCTCTTTTCTCATTCCCTTTCACCTTAAACAAGTCCTCTTCCTCCTCATCCTCCTTAACAGCATTCAAAAACTCCTCTCTCAAATCCTCTTGCTCCTCTGAATACGTCTTCACTTTCTTCTCCCCTTCTTCATCTCCGAACTCGGGACCCTCCTCTATCAAATGCTTAGACACTACATCCTTCAAATACATTGGCTTTTTATTTTTATTTTTATGTTTCTTCTCCTCAGACTCAGAATTTGTTTCAGATTCAGAATCGAATAACTTAGCATCTTTATTATTCAAAACAACAGGGTCGCCTTTTTTAATCTTAAGCAAAGCATCAAAGAACTTTAAATTACTTGTAGGGTTTAAATCCTCTTCTTCTTCTTCCTCCTCTGTGTCTTCGGAAGAGGATTCGTCATCAATGACGCCTTTCTTCTTCAGTTCTTCGAGCTTTTGCAAGTCCTCTCGTTTCTTGTTGTGTTCGTAGCGGCGGGCGAATTCCTCGTTTATCTCAATTTTGTCCAGCTTCTCTACATCATCATCGTCACCATCGAATAGCTTCATTCCCATTTTTTTTTTCCTTTGGGGTTTCCGAAAGCTGATTTCAAATGAGGGAGTGCTCTGTTTTAGGGTTTTGGGAGGGAGCAGCTAAAGGCCGAAGCTTTGTTTGAGGACAAATTGGCCAGAAAATTGAGGATGTTTAGGGATGTAAGAGCAATAATTTATTTGTTTTTTTAATAAAAGTAATTTTAATGGAAAGCTTGATTTATTCATTTTTCCTAATTTCTAAACGGGAATGGGAAGACTCATTTATAAAGGAAACAAAGAATTTTGAGAATGACGTTTATAAAGGAAAATTATTAAACCTTTCGGTGAAAACCATTTTGATCCCCCAATTTTGTCTTAAAAATTAAACTTTCCTCTAATATTAAACAACAGATATTCTACTTCTCCAAACTCAATTGTATTTTTAAAGTACCTATTTTACCCTCAATCTTATCAGCCTTGATCTCTATTATCTTTGTTCTTTTTAAAAATTTTAAAAAGTAAAAAACAATAATCAATCATGCATAATTTATTGAAATTGAATAAAAAAAATGGGCATAGTTAAAATATTAGAATAAAAGATCATATTAACATCAATCAAATAAAAGTTAGTGCTGTAATATAAAAAAATAATTAAAAATAGGGGGAGATTTCCTAATAAATTCCTAAAAGATTACATATTTATACCTTAGATGTTCTTTAAATTACTATTTAGAAAATATTTCCAAATTAATTAAGAATATTATATATATATATATATATATATATATATATATATATATATATAATAAAGAATAAAAAAGAGGAAGTAAAACTTAAATATATACTTAATATTAAAGTAAAAATAAAAAAGAGTAACGACAAAAATTTTGTTACAAATTCATAAAAGTACTATTCTAGTTAAGTTTTATTGAACTTTAATTATAAAATTTAGATAAGTATTTAAATTTATAAAACACTTAGCTAAAGACAAAATATATCTTATATAATATAATAAAAATATATATGCATAGAGGAAGAAATTAAAGTTTCAAGGGTAAAATAGATAATGCATATGATAGGAGGAGCATAATGTCTATTGTTAAATATTGGAGGAGTAGTTTGATTTTTAAGGTAAAGTTGGGGGATCAAAATAATTTTCACCCTAAACCTTTAGGGTGAAAATATTATTTTTTTGAAAGACAAATAAATTAACAAAAAAGTTAGCTTGAAATCAAGCAGAGAATTTAATCTCCCGAAATACATAAAGATATGTTAGAACTTAGAAGACACAAGCATATGTCATTCAAAACAAGGCTTGGCAAAAGGTCAAATTAGCTAAATCATTAGCTATCGAATTACTTCCTTTGTATGTGTACGCGATAGAGAGCATCTTGTTTCTACCAAAAGGTGACGAATGTGGTTTACTACTAGAAGCTTTGATATGGAAATTTTCGAATTTTTAAATGGAAAGACTAATTTATAGAGGAAAATCCAATTAACTTGAACTTCCGAAACTTTTTCCTTGAAAGACAAATGAAGCAACAAAAGACTAGCTTGAAATCAAGCGAGAAAATAAAACTCCAATGGTATCTTCCGAAATACACGAAGAAATACTAAAGACACAAAAACTCTTGATTAAAGGCCAAATTAATTAAACCTGTTAGTATATTGCATTTGTAAAATAATTTTGGAGAAGGAAAAATAACGTATAAACAGAAATGTAGAAGAAATAGAATTTAATTCGAGCCCATTGAATTCACAGTGTTTCCTTAAGGAACTTAATCCCCTCCAATTACCCGAGGTTGTGGATTATTTCCTTCCATCATAGAACGGATTACACACTGGTATAGCGGTACTTCAAACCCCAGTGTTTCAGCGAACACAATAATTAGTAGCAAATCACACTTACTGTTGCTTGCTTTGTAATTAAAACAATGCAGAAGAAAGAACGAGATTTCAGAATTTTCGTAAGAAAAATCTGAAGGAATGGTTTGCTATTTATAGCCAACATGTTGAGTTTAAACAAAGAGGTGCAACTCTTCAAAATGTCTGTTATGACTGTTCACGTAAAACAGTCATTACGTAAATGGTTATTTATGCAAAATTATCACGACCCGGATTTTCCATCCTCGGGAGTCGGGATGGCGCATACTCGTGAAAGCTAGGCAAGCCAACTATTAAGGTTTTAACCCATTCGCAATTAACCCAAACAGATATAAACAATAACTACAGTTAAACAAATGAAAAGTGTGGAAGAGTTATAAAAAATTCAAATAATCCGATACATGTCTACCCACGAATCTGGTGTCACAAATTCACGAACATCTATGAATTTCTACAAATATTGGTCTCGAAAGAAAAATACAATTGTTCTCGAAATGAAAAGAGACAGCAGAAAGCTAAAACAGGGAAGGGGGACTTTAGGCTCTGCGGACGCCAGCAGAACTATCTTGGTCTCCTTGGACTGAAGGCAGCTACCTTAGCTACTCACCGGATCCGGCACCGAAATCTGCACAAAAGAGTGCAGAGTGTAGCATCAATACTGTCACACCTCCTTTTTCCGCACCCCATGTACTGGTAAGTGTCGAGCCTAGCCTTGGGGAAGTAGTGACGAGACTAGGACACGACAACCATATAAATCTGTGCAGTTAAATCATATACAAACAGAATCATAGTAACAAGAATCAATAGAATAAGGTGGAAAGAGGACATGCTGCGGGGAATATCATATTCTAACGATAAACCAATAAAGAAGCATCAATAAAGAAGCATAATGAACATCATATCTATATCAACAAGAATAATGAAATGGTAACACGTGCACGACATCACCCTTCGTGCTTTTACTCTCGTCCTCACCATATAAAACAACAGAAATGGCACGGCATCACCCTTCGTGCCTTACCTCTCATAATCATGGCACGACATCACCCTCCATGCATTATTCCTCACAATATCGGTACGACATCACCCTTCATGCAACTCTCAAATCATGGCACGGCATCACCCTTCATGCATTAACACTCATAATATCAGCAGGGCATCACCCTTCATGCATTACACTCACTCACAATATCATGCACGACATCACCCTTCGTGCTTTACACTCTTCCTCGCCCAAATAATAGACAATACGTCCCGGCAAGGGAATTAACAATATCAACAATAACACCCCGGCAAGGGATTCAACTATAACCAATCTCGTTTTCAACAATTACTTTACAAAATAAAACTCAACTTGAGCCAATATTCAACAATAGTCAATTACCAAGAAACTTTCATAAGCTTTGTTCAACATTGATAATCATCAATTTGAGCATGATCGATACATAATAGAGTCACAACAATCATGATATAAGACTCACGGGCATGCTTGACACCAACATATAGATACTCGTCACCACACCTATACGTCGTACTCAATACCAACACATAGCAAATAAGACTACAACTCATATTCCCTCAAGCTAAGGTTAGGCCAAACACTTACCTCGATTCCGCGGGCAAGATTAAGCCTCAATTACCGCTTTACCTCTCGGTTCCACTTTCAATTCGCGTGTATCTAGTCATAATTTACTTAATAACATCAATAAATGCTAAATAAACCAATTCTAATGCATGAAAATAGATTTCTTATTGTTTTCCCCAAAAAGTTAAAAATCGACCCCTGGCCCGCTTGGTCAAAACCCGAAGTTCGAACCAAAACCCGATTACTCATTCACTCACGAACTCAAATATACATTTAGTTTTGAAATCCGACCTCAAATTGAGGTCCAAATCCCCAAAATTTGAAAATCCTAATTTCTACCCAAAACCCCCCAATTTTCCATGAAAATCCCTAGATTTTGAAGTAAAATTATGTAAAAAGATGGATTAGATTGAAGAAGATGAGTTAGAAATCACTTACTTATGATTTGGAGAAGTTTGAGCCTTTGAAAAATCGCCTAAGGATGTTTAGGATTTGAGAAAGTTGTAAAATGATGAAGAATCATGTCTGAAATCTCACTTAACAGGTACAATTATTGCAATTGCGATCAGGGGTTCGCAATTGTGAACCCTTTGAAATCCTGCTATCTTCGCATTTGTGAAGGAAACGTCGTAATTACGATTTGAGGGCCTTCACATTTTCCAGGCCTGAGGTTGCATTTGCGAAGAGGGCCTGCCCAGGCTTGGTTCGCAATTGCGACACTTTGGTCGCATTTTCCTAGCCTGACCACTTCGCAATTGCGAAGCCTGATCTCACAATTGCGAGATCAGAGGCCTGTGCAAAATAGCAGATGCACAGCTATATTTTCCTAAGTCCAAATCACCCCGTGGCCTATCCAAAACTCACCCGAGCCCTTGCGGCTCCAAACCAAACATGCACACAAGTCTAAAAATATCATACAGACTTGCTCGTGCGATCAAATCATCAAAATAACATCAATAACTATGAATTTAACCTCAAATTCATGAAATTCTTTAAGCACATTGAAATTTTCATTTTCTCAATTAAAGGTCCGATTTATACCAAATCAACTCTGATTCTTACCAATTTTCACAGATTCGACTTAATTATTATTTTAAACATGTACCAGGCTCTGGAACCAAAATACAGGCCCGATACCCTCAAGAACACGCATCATTTCATTTCAAAAAGTCTTTATATTTCCCAGCAGACAATTTTCTTTAAAAATTCTTTTCTCAGGCTAGGGACCTCGAAATTCGATTTCGGGCATACACCCGAGTCCCATATTTTACTACGGACCCTAGGGACCATCAGATTACGGGTCCGGGTCCGTTTACCAAAAATGTTGACCAAAGTCAACTTTAGTTAATTTTAAAGGCCAAATTCATTATTTTCTTAAATTTCACATAAAAGCTTTCCGGAAATGCGCCTGGATTGTACATGCAAATCGAGGTAAGACAAAAAGAGATTTTCAAGGCCTTGGGACGCAGATTTGACTTCTTAAACAAGAGATGACCTTTAGGGCATCACATTCTCCACCTCTAAAACAACGGCTCGTCCTCGAGCGGACATAGAAAAGTACCTGAGTCGGTGAAAAGATGAGGATAACGGCTCCGCATATCGGACTCAGACTCCCAGGTCGCTGCCTCAATAGCCTGACCTCTCCACTGTACACGAACTGAAGGGAAATTCTTTGATCTCAACTAACGAACCTGTCAGTCTAGAATAGCTAC